GCTGCTCCTTCAGCAGCTCCAGCTCCCCCTCGCGCCCCCGGGACAGCTTTAGGGGGGGGGGGGGGGTCAGCATCAAAGCAACCCCAGAGACACAGCTGGGTAATGGGGGGGACCCCCCTATTGCCACTATGGGGGGACGCGGGCATCATGGGGACCCCCCCTATTGACGTCAATGGGGAACCCCCTTTTGCCACCATGGGGACCCCCCTATTGCCACCATGGGGACCCCCCTACTGCCATCAATGGGGACCCCCCTATTGCCACCATGGGGACCCCCATATTGCCACTATTGGGGGACACGGGTATCATGGGGACCCCCCCCTACTGCCGCCATGGGGACCCCCTTATTGCCACCATGGGGATCCCCCTATTGCACCATGGGGACCCCGCTATTGCCACCATGGGGACCCTGCTATTGCCACTATGGGGACCCCGCTATTGCCACTATGGGGGGATCTCGGTATCGAGAGGACCCCCCTATTGCCACCATGGGGGGACCCGGTTATCATGGGGACCCCCCTATTGCTGCCATTGAGATCCCCCTATTGCAACTATGGAGGCACCCATACGTCATGGACACCCCCCCCATTGCCACTATGGGGGGACGGGGGTATCATGGGGACCCCCGCATTGCCATCAATGGGCACCCCCCTACCGCCACCATGAGGACCCCCCTACTGCCACCATGGGGACCCCCCTATTGACACCAATGGGAACCCCCCTATTGCTCCTATGGGGACCCAGGCATCACAGGGACCCTCAAACCCCCCTCCCAGCCCCATAGGACCCCCCCAAGGGGGCCCAGGGACCCCCCCCCCCATAGATGGGAGCCCCCCAAAAGGGCTCCAGGACTCACCGAGGTGGGGAAGTACTTGTAGGATTCCTAGGGGAGAAAGGGACAGGTCAGGAACATGCCAAGAGCACACCAAGAACACGCCAAGGACATGCCAACATACTAACAACACACTCTAATGCGTTCCAACACGCTAACACCATGCTCCAACACGCTATCAACACACTCCCAACACGCTAACAGCATGCTCCAACACACTAGCAACACGTTCCAACACACTATGAGCATGCTAACATGTTTTAACACACTAACAACACATTGTGAGCATGCTAACATGTTCCAACACGCTAATACCATGCTCCAACACACTAACAACATGCTCCCAGCATGCTAACGCACTCCAACATGCTAACAACACGCTCCCAATACGCTAACACCATGCTCCAACATGTTAACACTCTCCAACACACTAGCAACACGTTCCCAATGCGCTAACAATATGCTTGGAACATGCTAACATGTTCCAACATGCTAACAACACACTTCAACACACTCCCAGCATGTTCCCAACACGCTAACGATGTGTTAACACCATATTCCGGCATGCTAGCACACTCCAACACACTAACAACACACTCTGAGCACACTAACACACTCCAGCATGCTAACAACACACTCCAACAGGCTAACAGCATGCTCCAGCATGCTAACAGAACCCTCCCACATGCTAACAACATGCTAAAGCACGCTCCCACATGCCAACAGCACGCTCCCATGCGCCAGCAGCACGCTCCAACATGCTAACAGCACACTCCCACACGCCAACACCACGCTCCAACATGCCAACACCATGCTAACACCACGCTAACACCAAGCTCCCACACACTAACACCATGCTCCTTCATGCTAACAGCACGCTCCAACACGCTAACACCACGCTCCCTCAGGCTAACAGCATGCTCCAACACACTAACACCACGCTCCTTCATGCTAACAGTGCACTCCCACACGCTAACAGCACGGTCCAACACGCTAACACCACGCTCCTACACACTAACACCACGCTCCCACACACACCACGCTCCTTCATGCTAACAGTGCACTCCCACACGCTAACAGCACGCTCCAACACGCTAACACCACGCTCCCACACACTAACACCATGCTCCCACACGCTAACAGCACGCTCCAACACGCTAACACCACGCTCCCACACACTAACACCATGCTCCCACACGCTAACAGCACGCTCCCACACGCTAACACCACGCTCCAACACGCTAACAGCACGCTCCCACATGCTAACAGCACGCTCCCACATGCTAACACCATGCCAACAGCACACTAACACCACGCTCCCACACACTAACACCACGCTCCAACACACCAACACCCTCCAACATGCTCCCACACGCTAACAGCACACTTCAACACGCTAACAGCACGCTCCAACACGCTAACAGCACGCTCCAACACGCTAACAGCACGCTCCAACACGCTAACAGCACGCTCCAACACGCTAACAGCACGCTCCAACACGCTCCCACCGCGCTCCCCGCGCCCTCTCCCCGCTCACGCGGGCCCGCAGCTGGCACTGCCGCAGGCGGCACTTCTGGCGGATCTTGTTGGGGCCGCCGAACTTCTTCATGTCGCGACAGAAGTCGCACTGCCCGCAGTCCTCGGGGCGCCGGCACGCCTCGCACTCCCCACACATCCGCGCCGAGCGCTTGATCTATGGGGCGGGACCCACAAGTGAGGGCCCTGTGGGGCAGGGGGCGGGGTTAAAGGGAATGGGGCGGGGTTAAAGGGAGGGGGGCGGGGTTGGGCGGGGTTAAAGGGACGGGGACGGGGTTAAAGGGAGAGGGGTGGGGTTAAAGGAGGGGCGGGGTTAAAGGCAGGGTTCGGGGTTAAAGGGGGGGCGGGGTTCAAGGGAGGGGTCGGGGTTAAAGGCAAGGGTTCGGGGTTAAAGGCAAGGGGGCGGGGTTCAAGGGAGGGGGGCAGGGTTCAAGGGGGGGCGGGGGTTAAAGGGGGGGCGGGGTTAAAGGGAGGGGCGGGGTTAAAGGCAAGGGTTCAGGGTTAGAGGCAAGGGGGCGGGGTTCAAGGGAGGGGGGCAGGGTTCAAGGGGGGCGGGGGTTAAAGGGGGGGCGGGGTTAAAGGGAGGGGGCGGGGCTAAAGGGAGGAGGCGGGGTTAAAGACAAGGGGCGGGGTTAAAGGGAAGGGGGCAGGGTTAAAGGGAGGGGGCGGGGTCTATTCTATCCCCTCCCACCCCATCCCAGCCCCATAGGGCCCCACCTTGGCCGCTCGGCCCTGCTCCAGCGCCAGCTCCTGGGCTTTGGAGCTCTCGTGCTCCCGCTCCTTCTCCCTCCACTTCTTGTGCCGGTACCGGATCTCCAGGCTCGGATCCTTCTCTGCAAGGGGGGAATGGGGGGGGGGCAATATGGGGGGCTGGGACCCACATTTGATCCCCTCCCCCACCCTCCCAACAGCCATAAAAGGGGCAGGAGCCCATTTCCCCCCCCCAACAGCCATAAAAGGGGGCAGGACCCCATTTCCCCCCCCCCAACAGCCATAAAGGGGGGCAGGACACCATTTCCCCCCCCCAGCAGCCATAAAAGGGGGGCACGACCCCATTTCACCCCCCCACAAAAGCCATAAAAGGGGGCAGGACCCCATTTCCCCCCCCAAATCCCCCCAAAGAGCACCCAAACCCCCCTAAAAGACCCCAAATCTCATCCCCCCCCCCCTTAAAAAGAACCCAACCCCCCCCAAACCATCCCCTTCTCCCCATAAACCTCACCCGAACCCCAACCCCCTTTCCCATAGGCCCAAACAAGGGGGGTTTGGACGCAATGGGAAGGGGGTGAACCCCCCCTATAGGGCCTGCCCTATACGTGAGGGTCCTGTGTACCCATAGATGCGCTCACCCCGGCACTGGAGGCAGTACCACTCCCGGATGGCCTTGGCCATCTTCTCGGTGATGTTGATGCAGTCGCCATGGAACCACTCGTTGCAGTTGTCGCATCCTCTATGGGGCAGGGGGAATAAGGGGGGGTCCTTAACCCACCCCCCCCCAACAGCCCTATAGGGGCCAGGGTTCTTAAACCACACACCCCCCCTTAAAGCACCCCCTGATCCTCCCCATGAGGGACACAGGGGTCCAGACCCCCCCTAAAAGGGATCCATAACAGGGAATTTAGCCCCATAATGGGGGTCTCAGCCCCATAAGTGGGGGTCTTTGCCCCATAATGAGTGTCTCAGGCCCATAAATGGAAGTCTCAACCCCATAAATAGGGGTCTCAGACCTATAAGTGGGGATCTCAGCCCCATAACGGGGGTCTCAGCCCCATAAATGGGGGTCTCAGCCCCACAATGAGGATCTCAGCCCCATAACGGGGGTCTCAGCTTCATAACGGGGGTCTCAGCCCCATAATGTGGGGTCTCAGCCCCATAACGCGGGTCTCAGCCACATAAACGGGGATCTTCGCTCCATAACATGGTTCTCAGCCCCATAATATGTTTCTCAGCCCCATAAATGGGGGTCTCAGCCCCATAAGTGGGGGTCGCCCGTCCATTCCCCCCCCCAACTCACATCATGAAGCAGTTGATGTCCGGTTTGCGGCACACGCAATAAACGGGCGCGTTCTCCTCCCCCCCCGGCCCCGCTTCCGCGTCCGAGAACTCGCTGTCCTGTGGGGCCAGACAGAGCAATGGGGCCTCCATTGCCGGCTCCCCCGCCCCATAGCGAGCCCCATAGCGACCGCTCACCATCGCCGCTCGGCCCCGCCGGGCTCCGCCATAAGCCGGAAGGAGGAAGCGCTGCCCGCTTCCGCTTCCGTGTGAGGAGAGGGGAAGCCTAAAATGGCGGCGCGAGGCAAAATGGCGGCCGCCTATGGAGGCGGCCATGTTGAAAGGGGGGGTGGGGGGATGTGCCCTGGGTCGCCTGAGCCGCCATAGACACGGATAAAGGGGGGGGAGGGTTAAGAACGTTTATTGGTGACGTAGGGGGTGACGTAGGGACGTAGTGGGGGGGATATGGGGGAGCAAGTCCCTCCTATAGTAGGACATGGCAAAATGGCGGCCCTCTATGGAGGTGGCCATGTTGGGGATGCCACCTGAGCCACCATAGAGAGACACAGAAACGGGGGAAGGGGGTAAGAACGTTTATTGGGGGGACGTAGTGACGTAAGGGGGTGACGTAGGAACATATGGGGGACTCTATAGGGGACCTATAGGTCCCGCCCCCTTCACTCCTCACTCGCGCTGAGCCTCTAGGGGGCGCTGCAGCTGCTCCAGCTCCCCGGCCAACCTAAAGGAGGGCGTGGCCAGAGTTAGAGGGGGGGCGTGGTCACGTGGTTCACAGTGGGCGGGGCCTGTTGGGGGCGTTACCCACCTGTCCCGGCGGCACTGGCAGCTCTGACGCCGCGCAAGCTCCGCCGCCAGGCGCTGCCCCGCCCACTCCGCCTCCTCCTCCACCAATCGGCTGTGGAGCAGGGGGCGGAGTCAAGGAGGGGTGAAAGGGCAGGGCAAGGAATGCAATGGGCGGGGCCAAGCGCGGGGTGGGCGGGGCCTTCAGGCACTCACATGGCTACGAAGGCTTCGGGGCCCAGCTGCTGCTCTGCCTCCAGCAGGCGGCGCTCTGCAGGGGGCGGGGCTTGTTACCTTGGGCGGCAGCCGTGGTGGCAATGGGTTTAATGGGGGGGATATGGGTTTAATGGGGGGGGCATGGGTTCAGTGGGGGGCTGGACATGGTGGCAAAGTGGGGGGCATGGGTACAATGGGAGGGGCCATGGGCTCAGTGGGGGGGCATGGGTCCAATGGGGAGGGCATGGGTTCAATGGGGAGGATATCGGTTCAATGGGGTGGGGGACATTGGTTCAATGGGAGGGGCCATGGGCTCAATGGGGGGCCATGGGTTCAATGGGGAGGACATGGGTTCAATGGGGAGGATATTGGTTCAATGGGGTGGGGGCCATGGGTTCAATGTGGGGGGGGCCATGGGTGGAATGGGGGGGCTATGGGTTCAATGGGGGGGACACATGGTGGCATGGGGGGGGGCATGCGGTCAGTGGGGTGGGGGCCGTGGGTTCAATGTGGGGGGTCCATGGGTTCAATGAGGGGGGCCATGGGCTCAAGAGGGGGCGCGGGGCTCACCCTGGCTCAGCAGCTTTCCCATTGCCTCCTCCAGCCGCTCCAGTTCAGCCTCTAAATGAGCTGGGACCTACAGGGGGTGGGGCCACGGGGGTAGAGGGTGTGGCTATACGGGTGAGGGGGCGTGGCCATGAGGGCGTGGTCACGTGGGGGGGTGGGGCCTCACGTGCTCCTCCCGCAGCCTCTTGTGCTGCTCCATGATGTCCTCGAGCTGCCTCCAGAACTGCTCCCTGCGGGGGGGGGGACACGTGGGATGAGGCGTGGGTCACGTGACGGCTGTCAGCTGCCGCGTGGGTCACGTGACCCCCACCTGTGTCCGCGGCGCTGCAGGCGGAGGCGGCTCCGCTGCTCCCCGGCCCCGGCCACTTCCTGCTGCCGGCTCAGGCAGCGGCCCCGGTGCCTGCGGGGTCAGGGGGGCAAAGGTCACAGGGTCAAGAGGGAGGGCACCAAGGGGTCAGAGGTCATGGGGGAGGACAAAGGCCATGTTAGCAGGGTCAATGAGGGATTAGAGAGCACTTGGGATCAGTAGGGGATTGGGGGGGGTGTTTGAGGGGTCAACAGGGGCCAGAGGTCAACAGGGTTCTTGGAGGGGTCAGAGGTCACCAATGGTCACCTGATGATTGGGGGGGGGCAGGGGTCACCAGGGTGTGAGGGGTTACCTGTGGGGTCAGAGGTCATCCGGAAGGCAAGGGTCAACAGTCACATGATGTGTTCCGAGGGGGGGGTGGGTCACAGGAGTACCCCCCCGGCCCCTCCCACTCACCTTTGACCTTCGGCCTCCACCTCCGCCCTGCGCAGCCGCGCCACCCGCAGCGCCTCTTGGGGTGGGGAAACAATGAAGGGACCCCAAAACCCCCCCTTGACCCCCCAAACCCCTCTTTGACCCCCAAACCCCCTTGAACCCCCCCAAACTCCCCCTTTACCTTCCCCCAACAATCCCTTGAACCCCCCTGAGCCCCCTTGACCCCCTCTTGACCCCCCAACCCCCCCTTTAAACCCTCAAAACACCCTTGACCCCCCCAAAACCCCCCCTTGAGCCCCCACCTCTCTTTGACCCCCCAAACCCCCCTTGAGCCCTCCAAAAATCCCCTTGATCCCCCCAAAACCCCCCTTTGACACTCAAACCGCCTTGACCCCCCAAACTCCCCCTTTACCTCCCCCAAAACACCCCCTTGATATCTCACCCCCTTGATATCCCTGAAACACCCCATTAACCCCCCTTGACCCCCCCAAACCCCCCTTGAGACCCCAAACCCTTGAGACCCCAAAACCCCCCTTGACCCCCCCTGAACCCCCAAAACCCCCCTTGACCCCCCAAACCCCCTTGACCCCTCTCAACCCCTCCCTTGAACCCTCCCAAACCCCCCTTGATCTCCCCCAAACCCCCCTTGACCCCCCCCAGACCCCAAAGCACCCCCAGGCCATGGCCTCACCCTGCTTCTGCTGCCAGAGCCTCTCCAGCGCCGCCTGCCGCTCCTCCACTGCAGCCGGCACCCAAAACCAGGGAGTTTCACCCCAAAAACAGAGTCCCCCTTGAGCACCAGGGTCCCCCAATGCTGGGTGTGCCCCCCCCATAGATGGGGTCCATCCCCCCCCATAGATGGGGTCCATCCCCCCCCATAGATGGGGTCCATCCCCCCCCCATAGATGGGGTCCATCCCCCCCCATAGATGGGGTCCATCCCCCCCCCATAGATGGGGTCCATCCCCCCCCATAGATGGGGTCCATCCCCCCCCCATAGATGGGGTCCATCCCCCCCCATAGATGGGGTCCATCCCCCCCCAAGATGGGGTCCATCCCCCCATAGATGGGGTCCATCCCCCCCATCATAGGGTCCATCCCCCCCCCCAAATGGGTCCATCCCCCCCCATAGATGGGGTCCATCCCCCCCCCATAGATGGGGTCCATCCCCCCCCCCATCGATGGGGTCCATCCCCCCCCCACAGATGGGGTCCATCCCCCCCCCATAGATGCCATTCCCCCCAATAGATGGGGTCCATCCCCCCCCCATAGATGGGATCCATCCCCCCCCATAGATGGGGTCCCATCCCCCCCACAGATGGGGTCCATCCCCCCCCCCATAGATGGGGTCCATCCCCCCCCCACAGATGGGGTCCATCCCCCCCCCATAGATGGGGTCCATCCCCCCCCATAGATGGGGGTCCCCACTCACGCTGCTGCAGGTGCCGGTGCAGCCCCGCGCTGTGTCCCTGCGCCTCCGCCAGCTCCCGCGCTGCGGCCTCACGGGCTGGGGGGGGTGATGATGATGAGGATGGATGATGGTGGATGAAGATGGATGAGGGATGGTGATGAAGATGGTGATGGATAATGGTGGATGATAATGTCGATGATGGATGAAGATGGATGAGGGATGATGATGATGGATGAGGATGGATGATGGTGGATGAAGATGGATGATGGATGATGATGATGATGATGATGAGGGATGGATGAAGATGGATGATGATCGTGGATGATGATAATGGATGATGATGAGGGTGAATGGTGATGGATGATGATGATGGTGGAGGATGGATGGTGATGGATAATTATGATGGATGACGATGGATGAAGATGGATGATGATGATGGTGGATGATAATGATGATGGTGATGATGGAGAATGGATAATGATGATCATGGATGATAGTGGATGATGATGATGATGATGGATGATGACGGATGAAGATGGATGATGATGATGGATGATGGTAGATGATAGATGATGATGATGATGGAAGATGGGTGATGATGATGATGGATGGAGATGGATGATGATGATGATGATGGAAGATGGATGATGATGATGGAAGATGGTGGATGATGATGATGGATGGAGATGGATGATGATGATGATGATGATGGATGGATGATGATGGATGATGATGGATGATGATGGATGATGATGGATGAAGATGGATAACGATGATGATGATGATGAAGATGGATGATGATGGACAAACACCATAGGGCCAGACAGAGGGACCCATGGGGGGGTCCCCATCACTCACCCCGGTGCAGGCTGCGGATCTGGTCCAGCAGCGCCTCTGGCCGTGGTCCCCCAGCAATGGGATGGAGGGGAGCTGGGGATGGACCCATGCACACGTACATGTAACACACATACATGTAACACGCATACATGTAACACGCGTGTCCCTGGGCTCACATGGGGACACATGGGATCACACGTGTGCCTCACCCAGCGCCTCGGCACCATCCATTACTGCAGCCTGAGGGGACACAGGGACAATGGGGACAATGGAGACAATGGGGACATGGGGTCAATGGGGACATGGGGTCAATGGGGACATTGGGTCAATGGGGACATGGGGATAATGGGGACAATGGGGTCAATGGGGACAATGGGGTCAATGGGGACAGTGGGGACAATGGGGACATGGGGACAATGGGGACATGGGGACAATGGGGTCAATGGGGACATGGGGATAATGGGGACAATGGGGACATGGGGTCAATGGGGACATGGGGTCAATGGGGACATGGGGACAATGGGGACAATGGGGACAATGGGGACATGGGGACAATGGGGACATGGGGTCAATGGGGACAATGGGGTCAATGGGGACATGGGGTCAATGGGGACATGGGGTCAATGGGGAAATGGGGACAATGGGGACACAGGGATGATGGGGACATGGGGATAACGGGGACAATGGGGACATGGGGATAATGGGGACAATGGGGATATGGGGACAATGGGGATAATGTGGTCAATGGGGACATGGGGATAATGGGGTCAATGGGGACATGGGGTCAATGGGGACACGGGGACAATGGGGACAATGAGGACAATGGGGACAAGGGGACAATGGGGACACGGGGACGATGGGGACACGGGGACAATGGGGATAATGGGGTCAATGGGGACACGGGGACAATGGGGACATGGGGATAATGGGGACAATGGGGTCAATGGGGACAATGGGGTCAATGGGGACATGGGGATGATGCCCCCCTCATATCCCCTCTTCCTGACGCTCTCCATCACACCCACTCCATCTCCCCATCATTTCCCCCCACTCAGTTTCCCCCCCATTTCCCATCATCTTCCCTCCCTTTTCCGTCCCATCTTTCCCTCTTTGCTGTCACCTCCATCCCCGATCCCCTTTTCCCCCTCTTTCCCCCTCTTATTCCATCCATTTTGTCCCATTTCTTCCCCCATTTTATTCCCTTTCGGCCCCCATTTTGTACCCATTTCCCTCTTCCTTGTTCCACTTTCCCTCCACTTTCTCACCATTTTGCCCCTTTTCCAACCCCTTTTCCCCTCATTTTATCCCATTTTCCTTCATTTTATCCCATTTTCCATCACCTCCTCCCTGTCCCCCCCCCCCCCCCCCACCGCCATTTTCTGTCATGGCCGCCCCTCACCTCCTCCCCCTTCTCCCTCCATTTCCCATCCCATTTCACCTCCATTTTCCCTCCCCTTTTCCTCCTTTCTTGTCCCGTTTTCACCCTCTTTTCTATCAACTTTTTGTCCATTTTCCACCCCTTTTTGCCCTCATTTTCCTGTCACCTTTTCCATGTTTTTCCTTCCCCCCCCGCCATTTTGTCCCATTTCCATGCACCGATTCCTGTTTCCTCTTCCCCCCTTTCCCCTCCATTTTCTTTCTTCCTTTTCCTTCCCCTTCTCCCCTCTTTTTATCCCATTTTCCTTCATTTTATCCCGTTTTCCTCCATTTTCTGCCCCATTTTCCTCCTCCATTTTCCATCACCTCCTCCCTGTGTCCCCCCGCCGCCATTTTCTGTCATGGCCGCCCCTCACCTCCTCCCCCTTCTCCCTCCATTTCCCATCCCCATTTCACCTCCATTTTCCCTCCCCTTTCCCTCCTTTCTTGTCCCGTTTTCACCCTCGTTTCTGTCACCTTTTTGTCCATTTTCCACCCCTTTTTGCCCTCATTTTCCTGTCACCTTTTCCATGTCTCTCTTGCCCCCTCCTGCCGCCATTTTGTCCCCTTTCCATCCCCCTTTTGCTTCCCTCTTTCCCCTCCATTTTCCCTCTTCCTGCCCCTTCCATCCCCTCCTTTTCCTCACGCCTCCATTTTGTGTCCCCCCCTCCCCTTCTTTCCCCCCTCTTCCCTCCATTTTCTGCCCCATTTTCCACCCCATTTTCCCCCTCCATTTTCCATCACCTCCTCCCTGTCCCCTCCTCCCGCCATTTTCTGTCATGGCCGCCCCTCATCTCCTCCCCCTTCTCCCTCCATTTCCTATCCCCATTTCACCTCCATTTTCCTTCTGTTATTTCCCTCATTTTCTTCCATTTTCCACCCTTTTTGCCCCATTTCTCATCCCCATTTCACCTCCATTTCCCCCCATTTTCCACCCTTTTGCCCCATTTCTCATCCTCATTTCACCTCCATTTTCCCCCCATTTTCCACCTTTTTGGCCCCATTTCCTATGCCTGTTTCACCTCCATTTTCCCTCTGTTATTTTCCTCATTTTTTCCCATTTCCCCCATTTTCCACCCTTTTTGCCCCATTTCCCATCCCCATTTCACCTCTATTTTCCTCCCCTTTCCCCCTCATTTTCCTCCATTTTCCACCCTTTTGGCCCCATTTCCCATCCCCATTTCACCTCCATTTTCCTCCCCTTTCCCCCTCATTTTCCTCCATTTTCCACCCTTTTTGCCCCATTTCCCACCCCCATTTCACCTCTATTTTCCCTCCCCTTTTCCCCATTTTCCACTGTTTTTGCCCCATTTCCTATCCCCATTTCACCTCCATTTTCCCTCTGTTATTTCCCTCATTTTCTCCCATTTTTCCACCCTTTTTGCCCCATTTCCCATCCCCATTTCCCCTCCCCTTTCCCATTTCCCACCCTTTTTGCCCCATTTCCCATCCCCATTTCACCTCCATTTTCCCTCCCTCGTTTTCCTCATTTTCTCCCATTTTCTATCCTTTTTGCCCCATTTCCTATCCCCATTTCACCTCCATTTTCCCTCCCCTTTCCCCCTCATTTTCCTCCATTTTCCACCCTTTTTGCCCCATTTCCTATCCCCATTTCACCTCCATTTTCCCTCCCCTTTCCCCCCATTTCCCACCCTTTTTGCCCCATTTCCTATCGCCATTTCACCTCCATTTTCCCTTCCCTTTCCCCCCATTTTCCTCCATTTTGCCCCATTTCCCCTCCATTCTCCCTCCCCTTTCGACCTCATTTTCCTCCATGTTCCACCCTTTTTGCCCCATTTCCCCTCCCCTTTCCCCCTCATTTTCCTCCATGTTCCAGCCTTTTTGCCCCTTTTTCCCTCCCCTTTCCCCCTCATTTTCCTCCATGTTCCACCCATTTTGCCCCATTTCCCCTCCCCTTTTCCCCTCATTTTCTTCCATTTCCCCCCATTTTCCCCCCTTTTTGCCCTCATTTCCCTTCCCCCTTCCCCACTCCCTTCCCCCTCCCCCCACCCCCTCCCCCCATTCCCCCACCCCACACACAGACAACAGCTCCCCCCAACCACGCTTCTTTATTCCCCCTCGGCGCCCTCGGCGCGGGCCGCGGCACAATATGGCGGCGGGTAGCGGATGAAGAGCCAGTCCTCCTCCCTCTTGAGCCAGCGCAGGAGCTTGGTGAGCACCGCGATGGCGCCCGCCTTGCTCACCAGGGGGCTGAAGCAGCCGTAGAGCTCGAACTTGGGGGTCACCTGCGGGAGCAATGACCCCGTTAACCCTGGGCCCTAATGATGGAGCCAAGCCCATGTTAACCCTGGGGCCTAATGATGGAGCCAAGCCCCTGTTAACCCTGGGGCCTAATGATGGAGCCAAGCCCATGTTAACCCTGGGGCCTAATGATGGAGCCAAGCCCATGTTAACCCTGGGCCCTAATGATGGAGCTAAGCCCCTGTTAACCCTGGGCCCTAATGATGGAGCTAAGCCCCTGTTAACCCTGGGGCCTAATGATGGAGCCAAGCCCCTGTTAACCCTGGGGCCTAATGATGGAGCCAAGCCCCTGTTAACCCTGGGGCCTAATGATGGAGCCAAGCCCATGTTAACCCTGGGGCCTAATGATGGAGCCAAGCCCATGTTAACCCTGGGCCCTAATGATGGAGCTAAGCCCCTGTTAACCCTGGGCCCTAATGATGGAGCTAAGCCCCTGTTAACCCTGGGGCCTAATGATGGAGCCAAGCCCCTGTTAACCCTGGGGCCTAATGATGGAGCCAAGCCCCTGTTAACCCTGGGGCCTAATGATGGAGCCAAGCCCATGTTAACCCTGGGGCCTAATGATGGCTTCAACCCCCATTAACCCTAGTCCCTAATGATGGCACCGACCCCATTAACCCTGATCCCTAATGATGGCACCGACCCCATTAACCCTGATCCCTAATGATGGCTTCAACCCCCATTAACCCTTGTCCCTAATGATGGCACCGACCCCATTAACCCTGATCCCTAATGATGGCTTCAACCCCCATTAACCCTGATCCCTAATGATGGCACCGACCCCATTAACCCTGATCCCTAATGATGGCACCGACCCCATTAACCCTGATCCCTAAAGATGGCTTCAACCCCCATTAACCCTGATCCCTAATGATGGCTTCAACCCCCATTAACCCTGCTCCCTAATGATGGCACCGACCCCATTAACCCTGATCCCTAATGATGGCACCGACCCCATTAACCCTGGTCCTAAATGATGGCACTGACCCCATTAACCCTGATCCCCCTGACCCCTCCCTGCCCTCCGCCTCACCCATGCCAACAGCGTCTCCTTCTCGGCCACGTGGTAGAGGAGGCGCAGGGGCCGGTGCGGGCTGTGCACGCGGCTGTGCAGGTAATGGTAGAGGTCAAAGAGCCGGTGCTGCTCCTCCTCGCTGCTGTAGGGCTCCTCCAGCTCGGGGCTACACCCGGTGACAGGCAATGGCATCAGGCACACAATGGGGTGCCCCCCCCCATCATTCCCATCCCCTTCATTCCCTCCCCATTCCCTACCTTGTAAACTGCGGCAGTTGCTGCATCTCCTCCGGGCCTTCCAATGGCTTATAGAGGAAATGCCGGAGCTCCGGAGCGCCGGGCCGGGCCGCGCCGTATCCTGCCCCCGCTTGGATGGCAGCGCTCAGCTCCCGCAGCCACCCCTGCGCCCTCAGCGCCTCCTCCAGCTGCCTCCTGCACCCGGCTGCCCCATAGAAGCCTTCCCGCTCGGTGGACAGCAGGATGAGCGTCACCCCATTGCCACCGTCACCATCGTCGTCGCCAAGCGTCGCCGCGTAGGCATAGAAGTACCCATCGGGGTTGAAGCGGGGCAAGCAGACCGGGGTCCACACCTCCCCCGCTCCCACCCCGCTCCCCAATAGGTTGAGCAATAGGTGCAGGTCGCTGGCACACAACCGGCCCCCTTCCGCCAGCGCCCGTTGCCGCGCCGCCGTCACCAACCTCCCTCCGGCCGCCAACAAGGCCAAAGCCGGCGCTGGGACGGCGGCGGCGGCGGCGCGGCGCAAAGCACCGGATAGGCCCCGGCGGAGCGGCGCCGGTAACGGCAAACACCGGGCGGCCCCCAACAAGAGGCGTCCGTCGGCTGCGGCGCCCGCCAGGAGGCGGTCGAGGACGGCTTCGGCGCCGGCGAGCAGGCGGCGGAGGTCGTAGCCGCGGCGGCGGGCGAAGACGCGGGTGATGCCGCCGCGCGTCAGCAGGCTCAGGATCTGCTCGTGCACGAAGGTGAGCTCCCGGCGGAGCTGCGCCGCCGATTGGCGCGTGCGCGACACCGAGACCAGGAGGAGAGGGCCCCGCTGCTCGAACACCAGCGTGCGGTCCTCTGTTGGGGTATGGGGGGGAAAGGGGGTTATGGGGTGGTTGTGGTGTGGACCCGTAGAATGGGGTGGGATGGACCTGAAGGTCTTCCAACCGTTAGGCCATGTATGTGGGGTCAGTTGTTAGAGGAGATGGTTGGTTGGGGTGGGGTGGTTGTGGCCTGGACCCATAGAATGGGTTGGGTTGGGAAGGACCTGAAGGTCTTCCAACCGTTGGCCCATGTATTTGGGGTCAGTTGTTAGAAGGGGAAGGTTGGTTTTGGGGTGGGGTGGTTGTGGCATGGACCCATAGAATGGGTTGGGATGGACCTGAAGGTCTGCCAACCGTTAGCCCATGTATTTGGGGTCAGTTGCTAGAAGGGGAAGGTTGGTTTTGGGGTGGGGTGGTTGTATCATGGACCCGTAGAATGGGTTGGGTTGGGAAGGACCTGAAGGTCTGCCAACCGTTAGCCCATGTATGTGGGGTCAGTTGTTAGAGGAGATGGTTGGTTGGGGTGGGGTGGTTGTGTCATGGACCCATAGAATGGGGTGGGAAGGACCTGAAGGTCTTCCAACCATGAGCCCATGTATGTGGGGTCAGTTGTTCGAAGGGGAAGGTTGGTTTTGGGGTGGGGTGGTTCTATCATGGACCCATAGAATGGGTTGGGTTGGACCTGAAGGTCTTCCAACCGTTAGCCCATGTATGTGGGGTCAGTTGTTAGAAGGGGAAGGTTGGTTTGGGGGTGGCTGTATCTGGGGTCAGTCATTGGGGGGGGTCAGTTGTTTTGGGGGTTTGGTTGCATCATAGACCCATAGGGGTTGGAAAGGACCTTAAGGCCATCCATTGCCAACCATTAGACCGTGTATTAGGGGTCAGTTGTTAGAGGGGAAGGTTGTTTTAGGGGGTGATTGTACCTGGCGTTGGTTGTTGGGGGGGGTCAGTCATTGGGGGGGGGTCAGTTGCTAGAGGAGATGGTTGTTTGGGGTGGGGTGGTTCTATCATGGACCCATAGAATGGGTTGGGAAGCACCTGAAGGCCCAACCATTAGACTGTGTATTAGGGGTCGGTTGTTAGAGGGGGTGGCTGTATCTGGGGTCAGTCATTGCGGGGTGTCAGTTGTTTTGGGGGGGGTGTCTGTATCAGATACAGCAAATAACCTGTCTGGGTGACGATGGTCGTCCCCAGGTCTCCCCAGTCCCCATAGCCATCAGTAGGGACCAGAGTGAACAGTGACCCCCCCCCCCCATTGCCACGTACCAGAACAGATAGCCCGGATGGCGTTGCCCCCGCTCTGGATGAAGGACACCAGCGCCATCATGACGCCCATGGTGGCCGCCAGCGCCTCCTCGTTGCCGTGCCGTGAGTAGATGGGCTTGCCGGCCTCGCTCAGCACGAACACGTGCTTCCGGCGGCACCGCCACCCGGCCGCCGTCACGTCCTCCTCCGCGCCGCGCCGGCACCATAGCGAGGACGACGTGGCCGCTGCCGTCACCGCCGCCGTCACCTCCTCCTCCTCCTCCTCCATGCGGGGACCACGGGGGGACGCCATGGCCGCCGTCTCCTCTTCCTCTTCCTCTTCTTCATCCCCATCGCCCGGATCCGGTTGCGCCAAGGTTGGGGCTTGGGGGGCTCCATCGTGGTGGAGGGATGGAGAAGAGGGAGGCGTCGCCATGGCAACCTGCTGACCGGATGCAGCGGGTAGCATGTGCTTCTGGAGGCCACGCCGACAGCCTTCGGTCCCGCCCCCTCCAAGCCACGCCCACGGGTTCGACCAATCAGGGGTAAGCGCCCCCTCCCCCCACGCTCGCAGCAGCGCCCTGCGATCGGCGCCTTCCTCTAAGCCCACCCTCCCCTCCCGCCGCGCGCCCCCCTCCATTGGCCCCGCCCACGCCGCTCTGGCCCCGCCCACGTCGCATCGGCCCCGCCCCTTCCCCGCTCACCCCGCGCGCGTGGCCCCGCGCCCGCCGCCGCCGCTGCTTCCGGGGCCCGCCGCGCCGCGCTCCCGGTGACGTCACCGCGGCGACGGACCGCCCCCTCTCCCCTTTCCGCCAATCAGCGCCCGGCTCAGGGAAAGAGGGGCGGGGTTCATCAGCGCCGACCAATGAGACCGCGCGAGGGGCGGGGCCTGGGCTGTGACGCAGCTTTTTTGGCGGGTTCTCCTGTCAGCTCGCTGCTCTTCCGCGCCGCTTCCGCAGCCCCGCCCCTTTGTGGGCGGGGCCACATCGCTCCGGAATCCCGTGACCCGGATGTGTGGGACCTCGTTAGCTCCCTATAGGGCACCCAGGGTGCCATAGGGGGCTTGTAGGGCACCCTATAGGGGCTATAGGGCATCCCCAGAGGCCCTATAAACTTCTTTACCCCCTATAGGTCCTATAAGGACCCCATACGTGCTTTAAGAGCACCCTAAATGCACTAAAGTTCCCCCGACACGACTATGGGGCAGCCCCATAAGCCTATGGGGACCCCCAGCGCTCCCTATAGAGGCTGCGGGTGCCCTATAGGGTCTGTGGAGCTCCCCCCAAAGGCGCTACAGGGACCCTAAGAGGTTCTATAGGGTTAAAAGAGCACCACCCCCCATGCCCCGGGGCTGTAGGAACCCAGTGGGCGGGGCTTAGCCAAGGGGGGGCGTGGCCTGTGGGCCCCACACTTCCTCTCGCTGGAAAGGGGAAGTGCGAGGAGGAAACGGGGCGTCCGGGGCGGGGGGCAAAGAGCTCGGGACCCTCTGACCCCCCCCAACATCAGGTGAGACCAAAACCCATAGGGGTGTGTGGGGGGGGTGTGGGGCACGGCACCCCTCGGTCCAACTCTTGCCCCCCATCTCTTCCTTCTTCCCCCCCCCATAGGAACGCGTTGGACCCTTCTGGTCCCCCCCTTTTCCTCAATGGATGTCACCTACGCCGTGGTCAACAAGGCGCGAAAAGGGGGCGTGGCCACAGGGAGAGACCCCGCCCCCTTGGGACGAGGCCCCGCTTCCCCCCTCGGGAGCCCCGTGCACCGCCCCTCCCCCACACCAGCTGGTGAGTTTTGGGGGTGGGGGCTCCAGAGCACCCATAGGACCCCTCCTTTCCCCCATAGGTGCACCCATAGGATCCCTTCCCCACCCAATATGGGCTATAGGACCCCTCCTTTCCCCCCTAGGTGCACCCATAGGTCCATTTCCCACCCTGTAGGAGCTATAGGGCCCCTCCCTTTCCCCCATAGGTGCACCCATAGGATCCCTTCCCCACCCAATATGGGCTATAGGACCCCTCCTTTCCCCCATAGGTGCACCCATAGGCTCATTCCCCACCCTGTAGGGGCTATAGGACCCCACCCTTTCCCCTATAGGTGGACCTATGGGCCCCTTCCCCACCCTATAGATGCTATAGGACCCCTAGTTTACCCATTGGTGCACCCATAGGACCATTCCCCACCCTATAGATGCTAAAGGACCCCTCCTTTCCCCCATAGCTGCACCTATAGGCCTATTCCCCACCCTATAGGACCCACATCATGCACCCACAGAGACCATAGGGCACCCATAGGACCCCCCATCGCCCTGACCTCCATTCCCCCTCCCCCCCTCAGCCTCCAGTGACGTCACCTATGAGGTCGTGACCCCCCCAGAGGACCCCAGCAGCCCCCCCCACCTCGGTGAGCATTGGGGTGCAGGGGGGGAGGGGTTACCCCATTTGACCCCACGTGACCTCTTTCCCATCACCCATCCCATAGGATTCAACACCCGCATCCGGAAGCCCAAAGGCCCCCGGGAGCCTCCGGCCGAGTGGGCGGGGCCTGGCCCCTCCCTCCCGCATTAATCACGATTAAAACGTTTTAATATCACGATATCAAAACCTTGGGGGTGGGGTGGGGGTGAAGGTGGGGGTCAGGGTGCAGGGCTGGGTGCTGCCAGCAGGTGGCGCTTGTGAGCAGTGGCCGTGTATGGGTGCCAGCGCCACTCCACGTCCGCGGCGTCGCCTTGGTCCAGGGTCCCCAAGCGGATGAGGTAGGCTGGGGGGGGTCAATAGGGGGCTGGTTGGGGTCATTGGGGTCAATGGGGGCTGGTTGGGGTCATTGGGGTCAATGGGGGCTGGTTGAGGTCATTGGGGTCAATAGGGGCTGGTTGAGGTCATTGGGGTCAATAGGGGGCTGGTTGGGTTCATTGGGACACATTGGGGTCAATAGAGGATGGTTGGGATCACTGGGGTCAATAGGGGCTGGTTGGGGTCATTGGGATCAATGGGGGCTGGTTGGTGTCATTGGGATCAATGGGGGCTGGTTGGGGTCATTGGGATCAATGGGAGCTGGTTGGGGTCATTGGGGTCAATAGGGACAGGTTGGGGTCATTGGAGTCAATAGGGGCTTGTTGGGGTTATTGGGGACACATTGGGGTCAACAAGGACAGGTTGGAGTCATGGGTCAATAGGGGCTGGTTGGGGTCATTGGGACACATTGGGGTCAATAGGGGCTAGTTGGGATCATTGGGGTCAGTGGGGGCTGACTGGGGTTAATGGGGCCTGTTTGGGGTCAATGGGGGCTGTTTGGGGTCAATGGGGGGCAGGTTGGGGTCAATGGGGCCTGGTTGGAGTCAATGGGGGCTGGTTGGGGTCAATGCGGGCTGGTTGGGGTCACTGACGTCAATGGGGCCTGGTTGGGGTCAATGGGGGCCGGTTGGGGTCATTGATGTCAATGGGGGCTGGTTGGTGTCAATGGGGCCCGGTTGGGGTCAATGGGGGCTGGTTGGGGTCATTGGGGCCTGGTTGGGGTCAATGGGGGCCGGTTGGGGTCAATGGGTGCTGATTGGGGTCAATGGGGGCCGGTTGGGGTCAATGGGGGCTGATTGGTGTCAATGGGGCCTGGTTGGGGTCAATGGGGGCTGGTTGGTGTCAATGGGGCCTGGTTGGGGTCACTCACGCCGCAGCTGGAACCGGGGTCCCACCTCCTCCAGCTCCACTTTGCGGCCCCGGCGCCGGTAAACGTGGTTCCTGTGTGTGTGTGGGGGAGGGGTCAGGGTGATGGGGACCCCCCTCCCCCCCCCCCCCCATGTCACCCCCCCTCCCCCCCCAGCACCCACCGGACCAGGATGACGTCATCCTCATTGGCGAACGTCACCACCCGGCGCGTGTCCGGCCGGGGCACGGGGAAGAGGTGCTTGAGGATGGTCCCGACCTGGATGGGGGGGACACGGGGATGGGACCCCCCCTACACCCCCAAAATGGCCCCATGGGACCCCCATCCCCATTGTCCAACCCCCCCCCCGGTTCCTTTGGTCCCATTGTAACTCCTTGTTCCCCACATCCCCATTGCCCCCCCCATCCCCACTTTTCCCCCCCATACCCCCCATCCCCATTGTCCCCACTCCTCCATTGTCCCCCATCGTCCCCCACCCCCATATTGCCCCCTTTGCTGTTGCCCCCGTCTCCCCCATCCCCATTGCCCTCCATCATCCCAAAAGTCCCCCCATCTCCCCCCTCATCCCCATTGCCTCTACATCTCCAATGCCCCATTATCTTCCCCCCATCACCATTGTCCCGATCTCCCCCATCCCCTTAACCCCCCATCACCATTGCCCCCATCCCCATCTCCCCCCATTCCCATTGCCCCCCCTCCCCATCTCCCCCCCATCTCTGACTCCCCCATCCCCGTCTCCCCCCCATCCCCATTGCCCCCCATCTCCCCCATTCCCATTGCCCCCAATCCCTGTCTCCCCCACCATCCCCATCTCCCCCCCCATTCCCATTGCCCCCCCATTTCCATCTCCCACACATCCCCATTGCCCCCCATTCCCAATGCTCCTCCATTTCCATTGCCTCCCATCCCTGTCTCCCCCCAATTCCCATCTCCCCCCATCCCAGTCTCCCCCCATCCCCATTGCTCCCCCATCTCCCCCATCCCCATTCCCCCCCATCCCCCCATCCCCATTCCCCCCATCCCATTCTCCCCCATCTCCCCCATCCCCATTGCCCCCCCCGCTCCTCACCCTGCGCCCCAGGGCCGAGTCGAGGCGCAGCAGCAGCAGATGGGGGGCAGCCAGCGGGGCCCCCCCCAGCCCCCCCACCTCCTGCCTCAGCACGGCCCCGCTCAGCGTGAAATGGGCGGTGGGGCCGTGGGGGAGGTGGCAGAGGCAGAGCCCATCTGGGGGCGGAGCCTCGTCAGGACACGCCCCCTCCCGACGAGTCCCCGCCCCTTCCCTTAGCCCCTCCCGTTACCATCGAGCCCTGTGCCTCAATTGATTCACTGCAATCAACCCCCCACTCTCATTAGCATAAGCCACGCCCCTTTTAATAACCCAAGCCCCTTAACCCCACCTTTCCGAAACAAGCCCCGCCCCTTCTCATAGTCCCTTCAAGAAGCATCAAGCTCTACTCCTCAATAAGTTCATTGCAATCAGCCTCCCAAAGCTCCATTAGCATAAACCCCGCCCCTTTCTAATAAGCCCCACCCTTCTTACTAGCATAAAGCTCTGCTCCTCAATCCCCTTATTGCAATCAACCCCCCTGACACAAGCCCCTATTAGCATAAGCTCCGCCCCTTCTAAGAAGCCCCATACCTTAGCAACAAACCCCACCCCTTCCCATAACCCCTCCTATTAGCATCAAGCTTCTCCGCTGTAGGCTCATTGCAAACCCGCTCCCACAAGCTGCCATTAGCATAAAACCCGCCCCTTAGCAACAAGCTCCATCCCTTCCTATAGCCCCTCCCATTAGCATCAAGCCCCACTCCTCCCCTATAGGCTTATTGCAATCAAACATGCTCCCACAAAACTCCATTAGCATAAGCCCCACCCCTTAGCAAGCCACACCCCTTCCCACAACCCCTCCCATTAGCAGCAAGCCCCGCCCCTTAGCAACTAACCCCACCCTTCCCTTCAGCAACAAACCCCGCCCCTTCCTATGGCCCCTCCCATTAGCATCAACCCTCACCCCTATTGCCACCAAGCCCCGCCCCTTCCCCTATATAAGGCCGAAGCCCCGCCCCTCACCGGGCCTCCCTCGGGTCTCGTGCAGCAGCACCAGGTCGGTGACGCCGGCGCCCCGGCACGCAGCCACGAGCGCCCCGAGCTCCGCGTGGCCCCGGTTCATGCGGCGGGCACCGGGGATCAGCAGGCACAGCTCCTGGGGGGGGGGGGGGCGTGGTCAGGGCAAGACACGCCCCCTTCCATCCATATATGGTCCTCTTACCCCTTAAACCACGCCCAATGAGCGTGTTCCCCCAATTGGAGGCGTGGCCACGCGAAGCCACTCCCACCTTGGCAAAGATCCGCAGGCGGACGCTGGGGTCACGTGACGTCGTCACCATCACCTTGGGCGGCTCCAGCCCCGCCCACCGGTACTCGTCGTCATGGTTACCGGAGGCATCTTGAGGGGTGGAGAGAGACGGGGAGAGGGGCGGGGTTTACGGATGCCACGCCCCCTCCTCCTTCCAAACAGGAGGGTTTTAAGCTCCATTTTGGGGTGATTTAGAGGGGATTTGGGCAAATTCAAGCTGGAGCCCCCCCTCCTCACTCACCCCCTACCCCCGGCGTCTCCACCTCGAGCTCCTTCTGCAGCTCCAAGGCCTCGCGGCGCAGCTCCGTGGGCAGCAGCCGGTTCTCTGCAATGGGGGGGGGGGGGTCAGACGGGACCCCCATAACCCCCTCATAGAAACAACCCCCATAACCCCCCCCCTTTCCCATTGGTCTCTCCCATCCCCAGGCCCCGCCCCACGCACCATCCAGCGCCTGCCGCAGCCGCTCCTTCCGGTCCCGCTGCCGCCGCTGCCGCTCCTCCTGCGCCCGCCGCTGCAGGTACTCGCGGCGCTCCCGGGCCTGGCGGCGGAGCTGGGGGGGGAACGGGAAGGGAAACCCCGTAGGGGGGACGTTGGGGTCCCCATTGCCCCCTATGGGGGTTAAAGGGGGGGACGTTGGGGTCCCCATTGCCCCCTATGGGGGTTAAAGGGGGGGACGTTGGGGTCCCCATTGCCCCCTATGGGGGTTAAAGGGGACGGGACGGGCACAAGGACCCCGCAGCCCCCTCCGCTCCTCACCATGGCGCGCTGATCCCCACGCTGTCGCTTCCCAACAGAGCCGCCGCTTGATTGGTCGCGGGAAGGGCCAATGAGAGAGCTCGGTGCTGCCCTCACGCAAAAGGGGCGGAGAAGGGGGAGAAGGGAAGCGGTGCCCTGAAGAAAGATGGCGGCTGATGTCAGGGAGCTAAGCCCCGCCTTCCGATGCGCTGATTGGTTCAGATGGCAGAGAGGGCGGCTCCTATTGGCGGAGGCAGTTACGCGGGGTGAGACTGTGGCGGAGAGAAGCCCCGCCTCCCTCCGCGCTGATTGGTTCAATGGGAAGAGAGGGCGTCTGCTATGCGTGAGGCCACGATGGCGTTGATGCCCCGCCTCCCTACGCACTCTGATTGGCTCAAGTGGCGCTGAGGGCGTTTCCTATTGGCAGACGCACTTCCGCAGGGTGAGACCGTGGTGGATACAAGCCCCGCCTCCCGCCTTTCTGATTGGTTTATGCGGAAGAGAGGGCGGCTCCTATTGGAGCTCGCAGTTGCCATGCGTGAGGTCGAGGAGGCAGCGATGGGGGCTAAGTCCCGCCTCCTGCCGCGCTGATTGGCTCAAGAGGTGCTGAGCGTGGCTGCTATTGGCGGAAG